TCCATACGACGGGGCTGAGAACCACTGTTCGGAGCTGATTCTGCTTGTGGGCGTTTAAAAATACGTGACGAACTGCAGATCTGAGATGAATTTGCTAGAACAGGCGTGACCCATGTAGCCGCTTAATTTCCCATGCTTGTTTAAGTGCCGGGACGTCTCTGACCAATTCTGCCTTGTTACAGGTGATGTTTTAATTCACAGACTGAAGGCACTTCAGAAGTCCTTTCCCAGGAACCATGCTTTTTGTGACAATAAGGCTGTCATCCTACTGTTAGCATGGAATGAAATGGATGAAATAAAATGAGAAGGAAGACCTGCTGATTTTATACGCATTGTTAACTACTGTTTGGACAATATCTCCGTTCTTGGCATTGTATAGTCTAGCATTACAACCAATTTCTGCATACTAAAGAGATCCTGCATTATGAGGTGAATGAATGAAAGTTGAGAGTGGTGTAAGACATCTCGGAAAGGATTAATAAGATAGAAAAGGAAGGAGACGGGAACAGAAAAAGGAAAGATATTTTGACAGAAAGCAAAAGATCTCCGTTTCTCATTCTAAAAGGAGATTGCAAAGGATTAATGTAGTAAAGAGAGATGGTTTTGGTGTAGAACTAACATCAGGCTTTTTGGGTTAAATCTGGAGTAGTCACACGCACTTTGATGTGATTGTCAGCTAACGCGGGGGGGTTCAAAGCTCGGTGAAACAAGCAAAGCAGTCCCTTCTTTATTTTAGGATCACTCTTTTGGGTGCATGTGAGTATTTCCTCATGTTCATTAAATCTCCCTGGGCTGACAGCACTGAGGAAGTGTCCGTGCCTCGTCCCGGCTCAGAAGGAAATGGAGGAAGAGAAGGTGCAACTTTACTCACCATATGTTAGATCTGGTTGTTTTTTTATAAATGTGTCACAGCCTAGACGCTGCAGAGAGCCCTTCAAGTTAAAGATGTAACTGACCATGAGTTAAATTAAGGTTGAATATTAACACCAAGTTGTAACCACGGGAACAGCCCCTTCTGCATAGCTTGAAAAACTTCCTGAAAACCATTTCTGTGAATGGAACCATCTGCTTCAGGTTGAGGGTCGTCAAGTTGTGAAAAGGATTAATATGTCATGGTGAATAGCATGGGATTTCTTTCAAGGATTTGAGAAGTCATTTTTTGTGTATCCATTCTGTTCTGGTATTTGGAAAGCAGCCTATTCTAGATTGGAAGTTAGATGATATATTTTGCATTATCTTATTATTCTTTTATTACTATCACCTTCCAGTGGCAGAAAAATCTTATGTAACATTTAGAAACTTTCTTTTGTATAAACCAATTATTTGTAGCTGTCTACAAGAGCTGAAATAAAGGAAACATTGCATACTGAGTCCTGTGAGAGCATTTTATAATCTCCTTGGTAAATGAAGCACTCATTTGGCTTATTCAAATAATAGAAATTCCAAAAAACAGAAGAGAAAAGCCTTCCCTCCACCGTCTGGGATAGTCACTTAGAGTAAATTAAAATCATGGCTGTAAGAAGATCATGCTGGTAATTTAATTCTATGGAGATTATCACTTTTATGTATAATAAAACAATATATGAAAAATTGAAACCGTAATCCTTAGGCAGCCCTTTCATCTGCTCATTCAAATGGAAGCTCTTTGCCTGTGACTGTGAGTGAATCGCTGCGGAATGCAGTGACTAAAATTCCTGCACATTATAAAGATCCCACTAGAAGCTCCAAAAGAGGGCAACCAACTCACCGACGCAAATCTGGTACTCGGCACTGCTGCCAGGGAATGCAGTGGAAAAGGGAAGGAAACAGCAAAAGCTCCTGAGGTCTTCCAGCAGAGGATGACGATGGTTCCTGTTCAAATGGGTTGAACAAGAGTGGTGATGACTTCTTATAACTCCCAGTCATTTCTTCAAATTCAGTCTGTTCCAGATTTTCTTTTCTTCTGGAAGACAATACAATGTTTGACCAGAGCAAATAAATTTAATTAGAGTAAGTTTTCATGGAAGTGTAGTGCAAAACTGTCTTTGCAGATTTTCTTCCAATTTTGTAGAAACCATCTCCAGTCACAATTTTCAGAACAGAGAAATATTCCAAGCCAAAGATACGGGGGAATTTAAAGGTTGTGGTTTAAGAGGTGGGTTTAACTTCTCTGTTACTGTTTTTGCCATTAACCTGCCATTGCAAGTTGTATTCCAAAATTGCTTTCAGGAGAAGTTCTAGTTTTCTTTTATTGTAAGAGGGAACATCAGGATTTTATCTTTTGGCTGCATTCTTAGATAGAAAATATAGCGATGGAAATGATTAGTTTTGTTATACACACAGCAACCTTGGCATTAAAGCTGCAATTTTGACTTAGCCAGTACCGAATTATGTGAGCATTATTGGGTATGTCCTTGAGCTCTGAAGATGGAGGTCTGGGATGACATCAAGTGCAGGGCCTCTGGAGGATGCGGAAAGGCAGCTTGCAGAAGGCATGTCTATATGTTGAATTGTCTGTTGTGAAAATAGGGAAGAAAGCCAATCATTCCCAATTCTGCAGACATTCTGACAACTAAAGTAGGCATTAACAATTTGCAACACATGGCATGGGGGAAGAAAGTCTCTGAGCTCTACAACTGAGAGTTTCTTGGCTGAAATGAAGTAGCAGTTGAAGGTAGCTCAGAGAAAAACCTATTTTTATCATCCACTGTGTAGGGACAAAATGGATAACATTACCAATTATTTTTTCCCCCAAAAAACGGGGAAAAAATAATGTCACAACTCAAAAATAGTAACATGTTCTGGCTTCAAGTATGCATACTTCTGACGGTTTTTGGCCTTTATCGGGGATTTTCCTGACAAAAAAGATCAAGTTTTAGTACATAGGTTTCTGCCAATATATAATAATCTCCTGTGACTTTGAATGGACTTGGTACATAAAAATAATTTTGTGGCTAAGATATTGATGCAGAACTAATTTTTTGGGATTTCGATTGGCACAAGAGCTGGAAGAGTCTCACGGCGTTATCCTGCCCGACGCAGGTTTCGCTGGACTTGCCTGCAGAGCCCGGCCCAGCCTCAGCCAGGCTGGTCGGGAAAAGGGTTGGGAGTGCGAGCAGGAAGATTTGCACGGCCAGGTCTTTAGGTGGTGAGAAGTGTTGTTTCTTTAGAGGACTTAAATTGGGCTATAATGATTTGCAACAGAACTTTGCAACGTTAAAAAGCTGTCGTTTTTCTTGCTTAGGCCTTCAGAGGGGGTGAAGATCATTTGTATGAATAATTCTGATTATTTGTATGAATAATTCTGAACTAGAATAAGCTGAGATGGAGAAGTAGCAGATGAATGTTTTCAACAGTTGTTAAGATAACTTACTTGCATTAAAGATGTGGTCGGGTATGTTTGGAGAAGCATCAAGTTTCTCTAAGACAAAAACAGAGTCAAAACCACAGGAAAGAATGGCATTACTTAGAAAAATTGAACAGCTGAGAGAAGGAAATGCATATTTGAATTTTGATTAATTTTCAATAATTCTGTGTAATTGGTGTAGCAGCAAAACCGAATAATCAGGTTAAAAGTAAAATTGTATGATAAATGTGGGAACAGTTTTGACTTTACTTTTGGAGACAGAATATTCTCTTCACCAGTATGAATCTGTTAAAATGATTTTCTTCACTATTTACACTGCTTACTTTCGATTTGTTTTCAATTAATAAAGTAATTCTCAGACATATCCTCTCTGTTGACATAGTCACTGCTAAGTGTTGAACATAATGGGGACATTGTGGTAGACGTTGGTAGACAATGATAATTTCATTATTATTTTTGTCATTGTGAGTAATAATAATAAATAACAATAAATTGTGCTGTGGAAAGAAAAGATCCAGGGAAACACCTGATGATGATAAGGAAAAACTGAATCATATCTGGAGCACCTCCATGGGTTTTGATGTGCAGGTTGGGTATGCTAAATGTATTAATATCTCGTCTTCGCTGTCTCTACACTCGCATTCCCTTTTCACATACATTTATGTAACGGAGTTTCAATTAAAATTAAAAAAAAGACCTTGGGTTCTGACACCAGTGAAAAGTGCTACTTTTTGTGTGGAAATTTTGTACCAGTGGCTATTTTTCATGGAGCCTCACTACTATCAATGCTCTTCAACTGAGAGCAATTTTATATCTTCTGCTGCGTTGTCATAGTACTTGCATCATTCCAGTGCCTACCAGACTCCTCCTCTCCTTCCTTGGCATCTTCCATCTGTGGGAATTCACGGTTGGGAGATGCAGGTCCTGGGCAGACCTGCAGCAGGGGGGATGGTTAATCAGGGGTTGGGCGTCCCCCCATACCGTTCCCCGTCAGTGACATGGAAGTAATGTGCGTACAAGAGCACTGCTGTGATCCTGCTCAGCCGGTGGAGATAAATTGTAATAATTGGGCGGTGAGACAGGAGCTGGCGCTAGGTGTGACGGCAGAGACAAAGGGAACAGGAAATCGCCATACGGCGTCATATGCGCTTTCGACACATAACGTTTGATTGCAGCTGTCAGCATGGCATTATGTTTCTTGAATGTGCTGTTTTATTGAGCTCAGTGTGTGGGAGAGATTTTTTTGAAAATGAAACAATGCTGGAAAGTGATTGGCATAAGGTTAGCTTTCGACACGTTGCAGTTCCTGAGATACATGCATAAGAAACAGCAATATTAACTTATTGATGAGGGGATTTTTGAGTTAGTTAAAATTTGCATTTTTCATCAATGTCTTGTTCTAACTCTTAGGAGAGTTAGAAGTGCCAGGAGATACAGTTGAGAGGGCATATTCCCTTAACTCTAGTTTCTTAAGCTCTGTAATAAGTATTCTGTTTTTCTTTCCTCTATTTACTCTTCGTTAATGCCACAGTTGTGTTCTTTCGCAGTATTAAGGATGGCAAACTTGTACTGGCTTGAAATGCATTAGGAGAAAATATTAAAGTAGCGCTGCGGGAGAAAAAAAATATTGAAGTTAACAAAAGGATACACCGTTATGGTGACCAGAGAGAGCTGGGATTGTAATGGTTTCTTATGCTCTTTTACTGAAAACATTGTTTTGTGGAGGCATAAAACCATAACTAACTATTGACCTCTCTGCAGCCAAATATATTGCTCAGGGGTGAGAGAGATGAATTTCCTGTGTATATGCAGGTACCGCAGATGAACCCTTCTTGCTTTAATTTGAACAAACCTTTTCAGAGTCATTCTGAGTATTTTTCTTCACAGTTTATGTTATTTATTGTGTATTCTTTAGCCTTTAATAGGGCTAGTATTGGCGTAGAGTTACAAAGTGAAACTGTAATGGTTTTGGACACATAGTTCATAAATTGGTAGTTTCATGGCGATGCTAATGATTTTCATATATATATTTTATCTGAACTTTTTTTTCGTTGCACATTCTTCTGAACTTGAATGTTTCCTTAGTTTTTTCTGCTGCATGAATTTATAAAACAAACAGAAATGCATAGTACTAGGCAACAGAGAAATAAACTCAAACATACATATATATGTATAAACTTTCATGTAAAATCATTTAAATAACACTACACCAAAATAATCATCGGTACGTGGTGACTCATTTTTGTGTATTCACATAAGAACATGCTCTGGGCAGCCTTGGATTGAGATTTGTGAAATTATTTGAATCCATCTACTTACACGGCACATTTGAAAAGGTGAGATTTGCATTTGAAAAGGATGAATCAGAACTAAAAATAGGTTGGATAGAAATAGAGATTCTTCCCCCTCCCAAGGGTCTGGAGTCATTTACTGTAGCCATTAACATGGAACATGATTTCAGGTGAAGTATTTCCTCAATAAACTTTAGTAACATTTTTATTTAAGAAAAGGAGAAAGAAGGATCAAATGTGGACTGTCAGAGAGGTGTCAGAGAGCTGCTTTGTTTGTTAAAGCCCTCATGCATAGTTACATTGGTTCTAGATTTTTTATTATTATTATTTTCAGTAATAAAAAAAAAAAAATTGGGATGCAGTCCACCTAAATCTTGCCCAAATGGAGACTTTTTTTCCTAAAACATGTCTAAATCCCCAACAGCAGCACAGTTTGAATACTTCCTAGTCCTGCCTAATCTTATACCCAACTTTTTTAAGTATCTTCTCCTTAGGATGAAAATTTGATAAATATTAAAGTAGTTTTTACTTCTGCTTGCTCAGAACTGTCTGCTTTGGCAGAATGGACAAATCTCCCATTTAGACTTCTTTTTTAATTCTGGGCTTAAGTAAAGAGACAATGAACTCCACCTCAATATGGTGGAAAAACCTGAAGAACACATCCCTTTTTTTAATAGCCCACTGGATAAAGCACTCATCCAAGGAGTGAGGTGGCCAAGTTCTGGGTTCTGCTGAGACTGATGATGCTTTAGCTGCATCCTAAGAGGCTTCCAGCAAATCTGATGTTGACTGCAAGCCATGATGTAGTTTATAATGTGCGTATGAAATAGTGACTGAACCAGAAATCCCCCTTCCGAGACGAATTCTGACAACCAGATACATCCCTTCCATCTGGTGCTAAAGAGGAGTTTTCTTTAGGTGATTTCTTACAGGAAGATATTGGCAGGATAAACATATCTGGAACTTTTATCAATATTCATTTGGAGGGTTTTGTGGTGTTTTACTGCGCATGGCATAAAAGCAGAAATTTGCTTCCATTATGGGATATTTAGTTATTAGATAATTACAGGTAATTGCATGGGCAAGTTCTATGAACTAAAGTGTTACTGTAACATCTAAAATCTACAAATTGGGTAACAATTATGTTTGGAGTTATATCATTATTTTAAGTATAATTATTATGAGATAGGCAGTGCATGTAATTAATGAGTAATCACCGGATTTTGCCTTCATAGTTGCACTTCCCCCTTGTTTTAACGTTCTTTGTCACAACGTTTAAATGTAAAGATAATATAAATTGACCTCCATATGCATTATACTAAAATTCAAAGTACTTATTTCCACTGTAGTACAAGCTCCCTCATATTCTAAAAACATAGTTTCAAGAAGAAAAGAGAGAGGGAGAAGACGTGAAGTAACCTTTCAATAGATACCAGCTCGTGAGAGAACTCTTTTCCATAGCTGTCCAAAGTAACCTTTTTTCATCTACTAAAGCTAGTTTGTACCTCGCTAAAATTCTGCTAAGAGAAAGTCTTTCAAAATTTCCTCACATCATCTTCTGTCTTCCTTCCATCATGAGGAAAATTTGACTAACAAAATTTCATATGGAAGAGAAGAATCTGTAATTCACTTTTGGGTCCCAATTGAACAAAGCTTCCTTTTTTCGTTTGTTTGTTTTTTTTCTGTTGTTGTTGTTTATATAGGACACACTTTTGCCAAACTTTCAAGTTATTAAATAGTGGTTTTGCTTCTTTTTTTGTTTGCTTCTTTGTTTTTTTTCATTATTTATCAGGTTTTACCTGGCGAGATGATTATACGCAGCATGTTATTGGTCAGGAACTCTCAACTGTTCACAAAATCCACAACAGACGCCCTGATATATTCACACCTGAAGGATCTGACACAGGAAGGTAAGTCTTCAGTGGTGTTTTTGCCTGGTAGGTTTTTGGGAGGATTTGCAAATGATGAGAAATGGGTTGGCACTGAAGCGGAATCAAACACATTACCAAACCCACCGTCTGTGCGGCAACGGGAAACCAGTCGTACAACAGCACTGAAAACAGCAGTAGGAAAACAGCAGACAGAATGAATGAAATCCCTCAACCCCGTCCTTCTGATTATCATCAAGTTAAGAAAATATGCCTTCTATTGCTAATATAGGTTTCAGAATTCAAAACATCAGGTCTTTCATCCGGTTTATGCAGTGCCTAGAGTCAGTTCAGCCAGCTCTACTTATGACTAGCTTAAAAAGGCAGACGTATACAGTAGCTCATCCACAGGAAACATTTTATTCTGGAATAAGCCAGCAAAAAGAAGCATTGAGTGACATTCTGAGCATCTAATTACATTTGCAAACACATATTATATTTTCAAACTCATATTCTTCCAAAACATAGCTGTAATTGATTCAAAGTCCATAGATTCTCCACTTTAGTTGCAATGTTTGTCCAGGAAGGAGAGATACATGCAAATTCCCATGACAGAAAATCTTGGGACATTTCTATCTATTCTTTACAAGTCATTTTCCTCATGGCTTGAAAGATATTGAGAGGGGACTTAGTGGTTACTGGTAGCAAGAGACACAACAGCTATAATTTTGTAGAGTAATATGGATGTAGGACCTGCAATTATATACATATAATGCATCTTCATATACAAATACAAATATAAATACACTCTTTTACCTGGTCTATTCTGTCCTTCTGTCCCACAGGCTTTTAAGTGCAACCCAAGCACACAAACCCCAGAAGGAAATTTTAAAATGCATAAAATTTTAGGAATATTAAAAATGGTAAATTTGCATTCCCCTACATAATTTTAAGAAACGTAACCTAAAAATTAATAAAATTGAAAGTAAGTGCTTTTTTTTAGAAAACATTTTTCTTAGTGGGACAAAGCTTGAGCTTCTATTCTTGATGGGCAAGATATTGAACATTGGACTTCAGATCTTCATATACTGCAGTATGGGGTTTGCATATACTGCAGAACCATTGCTTTTCTAGATTTCTTTTTTATGGAAATAAAAATGCTGTGTAATTGATATTGCCCAGCAGCTTCAGCTGTGTTTGCCTCGGTTTATTTTGATTTAATTAATAGAATTTTACCCTGTATTTCACATCTTTGCTGATGTAAAAGCTGTCCTTAAAATCACAGCACCATACATTTCAGGAGTGCAGCAAGGTAGAAACTTAACTTCTAAAGGAGATACTGGTCTATAGATCATCATAACAGTGATAAAAGCATGTTGTTGAATCCATAAACATGTTTTCACTGCTTAGATACACAAAATGCCATTACTGTATGGATTATTCTCTGTACATGGTATCAGAAATAGATTTGAATATATTGTGGGGTTTTGTTTTTTTTTTTTAAATGAGTGTTTCTGAAACTTTTATTCATGAGAGTAAGATAAAATAGGCCAGATTTCCATGAGATCAAGACTGTATTCTGCAGTGTTCCAGATTCATAGCTATATAAAAATAAAATGTATAAGAAGATAAGAAATAATTTAGGTTTTAGACTGAGAACAGATGATCATTTTTAGGAGTTCCTGTTGTGATCGGGTTTGAGCTGTTTTGCATTTTTAACTAGAACTATACATTAAAAAAAATAACCCATTTTGTGTATCGACATTTTAGGAACATCAGAATTTCAAATGTCTTCTACTTATAGCAGTTCCTATTGTGGATAGATTTTCTGAAGTTACCAAGCTGTGCTTCTGAAAGCGTTATCTTATGTGCCAACAGTATAAAGCATTAATTGATTTTTCTGGTTGTCCATTTGCAATATATTCTGTAGGTCAGAGAACAGTAGGAACTTTTTCTCTGGCGTCTTGTAGATTCTGATCGAGTTTGCTATACGCTCAGTGTGCTCAATGCACTTGCTAAAATCTTTTCAGATAATAATGAAATAATTAAAAAAGCAACTTAGTGTAGATATCTAATTATCAAAGAAACATTATGTCAGGAAGACCTTTTATTAAGGGTAACGTGTGTAATAAGACAATATGAAGTCATACTAATGAGTCATTAATCCCCACAGAGCTAGTGAGAGCAAGAAAATAGACTGAGACACTTGAAAGGTAAATTGACTTAGGCTAAATTAGTGTGTATGAAATCTGATGGAACAGAAGACACGGATTTCATCTTAAAAAAATGCTGAAATCGGGAGCTTGATTTCAAGATGAAAGTTCTTTCTTTGGTGGCTAACTGGAGTGTACATGGTATTTCCTGGGCCCTTATTAAATTTCAAAAAAACCCCACTCTTGAAAGAGGATCCAAGATAAAGGAAAAAAGTCCATTCTGCACACAGGGAATAAATGTCAGTTGTGTTCATTGGTGCAATTAGGCAAAACCACAAATGTTTCCAGCAAACTTCAATGTATGAAATAGGTTATAACATTATTTCTATAATAAAACCATCATTAAGTCAGTAATATGATTCTCACAGCATTTAAAAGGGAGAAACTTTATTCTAAAAAGCATGAGATCTATTAATTGAGAACATCCTAGAAATATCTGAGGTGTAGTGGTTTAGATATTTCCACACAAAAGCTTCTAAAGCACTATTTTTTGTAGAAAATACATAATTATTTCTCTGGATGAATATTTATATTTGTCATTGTCTTTATACCCTAAAGTTCATTGTATGCAAAGTCTGTTTCAGAACAAATTAAAACTGAAAATACTTCCAAATAAGTGCACAACAAGAACTCAGCTGACAGTCTTTTCTCCTCCTCACCAGGTGCTTTTATATTTGTCTTTCATCCATTTTCTAATATGACTTTGTCAAATTTAAAAGAAATATTTTAAATCCGTTGCAATGCTAGCTCATTTAATGCATTTGACTTTCTGTGTTAACAAGGTGAACAACAGTGAAATATCGGTGAACTACAAAAATTTTTTAAAAACTTTCAGATGTATTCATAGGATTTTTTTCAAGTTGTCGTCAAATGAAATGTAATGCTTCGTTAGACTTTCACATTTTAAATGTTTAAAAGTTTATAGCCTAAAATATTACATCTAATGTGGAATTTAAACACAACTTGAGTGCAATTACTGTCTCCATAAGAAAAATGAGAAATCTTAGACCACAGATTTTGCTTCTACCACCAGTGTGAGTGATTATATACTGTAAATAATGGCTTGAAAAGCTAACCTAAGTACCATCTTTTATCTGTGGATTCAGTTCCCATTAGCTCCAGTGGAAATCCTCGGGGCAGAATTTGGTCTGATATTTCCATTTTCCCTTTCTTTTCCAAGTTAGTGAAGAAAGGAGAAGATAGGTGTTGGAATTAATTGATGAGTGAAAGATGAGTGTTTGAAACTGGGTACTTTCTATGATGAGAGCCTCTTTGGATCAGTTCATCTCTATTGAAGCAGAAGGCATACCGCCCAGC